TTGCATCTTCACGTTGGTCATGAAAATCTTGTTTGAGCTTCGTCAGGTCGTCCACGTCTTCGTCAACTCCCGATGCTCGCATGCTCTTCTGGTTAACCAAACTGGTCGAGAATTCCATCGCAGCGAGCCTGGCGTACATGGCACGAGATGTTTTTGTCGTACTCCTGCATGGCGAGCGCTGCCCTTGCCCACGTCGTGGCCACTTTGCCATGCCCTACGTCGTATGGACCAAGCCGCACAACCTCCAAAAGGAGTGCCTCGTCTATTTCGTCCGACCAAACGATCTGCTTCCTTTCTTTCCGACCCATCGTGCCAGCAACTGAGAATTCCCGGCTTTGCAAAGCAGAGTTGGTTGGTAAATAGATTTCCCAGCTTGTGCCAGTCGTTTTGCAAACTTTGGCGAACTTCGAAGCATTACTAAATCGAATTTGAAGTCGGGAAAATGAATTTCGGACTTGCTAAATCCTTCTAATGTCCAAGAAATATAAGTTGTTCCGGCACACACCAAAGGCAAAGACAGGCCTGGTCATCGTGTGTGACAGAGCAATCGGCTTCACGAAACACGACCTCAAAGTTCTTGCTGGTACGCGGGAGAGTGAGAACAGGTTGAATTGTATTTCCGGAATAAAAAGACATCGCCCAGGACAACTGCAATGACGCCAGAAGGGGTGTTCATTTCCAATAGTACAGACCTTCGTCCTTTAATCGTCATGTCGCCACCATATGCAGCTCGAGCTTTGCCAGACAAGGGCGGAGTTCTTCAAACCAAGCAGCATTGTTGCAGTAATGATCAGATGCGCCAGAATCCATAATCCATTCCGGGGAGACGTCAGGAAGTGGAGCGGAGGATTGTAGTGTGAAGTGGCTCACGTTGGCAAGCATACTGACATGGATGACAGAAGACTGACCATAGCGACGGCGATTGGGGCCAGACGACGCTTGAGATGACGATCCACGGAGACGCTCCGACGATGCAGTTGCAGCAGAATCCACAGGCGGAGCGGTGTTGTTCGGGACGCCGTTGACCAATGTTGGAATGCTGCTGGTCGGCAGGCTTGCGACGGCAAACATTCTCAGTTTGGTTGCGTATGTTGCAGTAGCTGTAGACAACGGGGGCGTCAAGGTTACCGTAACGGGATCGGGATCTTTGGTTTCGACGCGAAATGCTCCGGATCTCCTTTTGAATAAGTGCAGTAAACAATTTGGGTAGCGTCGTGCCATCGATGGCTTCGCCGTGTTGAAAGACATGAGCTTGAAAGTTGATAAAGGACTCAAACCACTCATCGAGGCTGTTCAGGAATATGTGAACTTGGAGCTTGTCGTCGATGGTCATCCCAGCATCGAACACTTCATCCAGATGAATCTTGAAACGATTGCCATACGCACGGGCAGATTCAGTGTGGCGGATGCGAATCTCCAGCTGGTTTTGAAACAGATAGGACTCGCCCATGAAGAACTTGATGCCGTAGAGTTCGCTGAAAAGCTTCATCATGGACGCAGCAGTCGGTTGCTGTCAAGACCTGCCAGGATAATTGTGCGGGCAAGACGGTTCTTGGAGATGAAGTCAGCATTAGTTGGAGGCATAGTGCCATCGACAGCTTCAAGGACTTCCTTGAATTCGAGGTACGCATTGAGTAGACACTCCCATTCATTGAACGACTTTCCGTTGAACACGTGGTCAAAACATCCATGG